AAGACGGGGGTCTAAGCTGTGGCCCATGAGTGAAGCTAAATTTGCGCATGCGTAGATGTGTCTACACCTTTTGCGCGCTGTTTTCCAGCTGGACTGATTTCTCACGCTCTCTCTGTTTGTTTTTGTTATTTTGTGTCATGGCCTTTTTCAGCTGACCACCAAGTTTTACTGGTTCAACAGAATGCTCTTTTATCTGCCCTTCTTACAAGCCAAGATGCAACGGAAGAAAGTAAAAAAAGAAAAAGAAAGAAATGTTGTAGAGATATTTTTTTGGACCAATACTTGGTTGGCACATATTTCTGTGCAAAGCAGTATGGAATATTTCTGCATTGTACTGTGGTACTCTCTATTCTATAAACATGCACATGCATATTTATATATATAAAACCTTCAATTTTTATATATAATTTCTCTTAGGAGAAATACGATATTCTAAATATGCCTAATTAAAAAAAAATGTTTTGAGGATAGGCGACAGATAGCCTGTATATAATATTTTTCCATTTTGCAGGTGGGAAAGAAGTTAAGCGGAAAACACTACTTACCATACATTAATTTTTTTAAAATTTTCTATCAAAAGGAACATATTTCTGTGCTACTCCTTATTCACTGTCACTGTCGATCACTACAGTAGTTGGCTGCACTACCAGTATCAATTATCACTAGTACTAGTATCCCACAACTGATCAGCATGACCAGCAACCACAACTAGTAGAATACTATGAAACGTTCACCCAACAATGTATTTTATGCTCAATCATTAAATACATTTTGCTGTGTGCCAGCTGTTTGTATACATCTATTTCTAATAATTTGCATGTATAAGCCGCACCCCTGAATTTCATATGCTTTTTCTGAAAAGAAAAAGGGGTTTACGTTCGAAAGACTACAGTGCATAGTAAATATTAACTTTGAGGAATTTTTGTGGATAATTCTGCAAACTGGTATGTTTACATCATATGAATAATTCAAATTAAAATTAAACTCTGTTGTGCTGTGAGATGTCATAGATGTAAGTTTCATCCACATCTGTTGTCAGAAGTAATTACTTTTAATGCTTTTTCATTTGCCTGACAGATTAGACAATTCTTCACTCACTGGCAGACATGCATATTAAAGCACCAAAAAGAGTTTAATTTCAACATATGCTGTCATTTACTATTTACGACCAATATCTCAAAAGTAATTTTCACATTGACAATTTTAGGTTCCCAAGGTCTTCAAATACAACAAAATTATAAACATTCATACCTTATCCAGGAATTATCAACCAGAGAAATAACATGAAATTTAATGATTTCAAAATTCCATTCAAATGATAGTAATAAAGAGTGGATAATAATAAACAAATACTATTCATTAAATTACAGTCCATGTTATGAATAATCTGTGCTATTCAGTTTCATTAAAAGTAAATTCCTTTCATGGAGAATGTAATTAAAAACAGAACAGAACATCAACAGGAGAAAAAAAAAACTGTCTAGATCTAGACTGTTGTTTTAAGGACATTTCACTATATTTTTTCCTTCTTGGAATTCATAAGAGCATTTTCTTAAAAGATTAATCTTTTATTACTTATACAAAGCTTACACCATTGAATTGACTATTGTGACTATTCATAAATAAGTGAAAATAATATTTTGGCTAATCTTTGGTATATGGTAACAGGTAGTTTGGCGACATTTTGGTAAGGCTGTAAAGGTTACTAGCTAGGACTTTAGCAGTGTACATGGATAAAGTCAAGAGTGTGCGCAATGCCATTTTTGTGCAATTCTGGGATGTTTTTTTACATGAAAATAGGTCGACGTGTACATGGATGCTGTGTATGTGCAATTCTTAAACACGCGGCAAGCAGTTTGCGATTCTGCACTTTCTCCCAATTTCGCACCTAATCATCATGATTAAGCACTTTTGTTCCATAAAAGTTATAGCATAAGCGTAATTCGGCTAGCAGAATGTTGTAAAAATTGTTGTAAAAAAAAAAAAAAAAACATGCCTTTACTTCGTGAAAACAAAATGGCGTCCAAACAAAAACTAGCAGGTTGCTGTAGCAGGGTTGGTCGCCAAATTTTCGCCAAAAAGTTTTAAGTTACCATAATCCAAAGATTAACCAATGTTTTTTTAAGTAATATTTTTACTGTTAAAAAAAAAAAAAAACCAGTAGATTCTTGATAAAAATTTGATGTTTTAATAAAATTAATTCATGAAGTTTGTTGGAAAGCAAATCAGCATTTGAAGCAAATTACAATACAATATTTCCAGCTTTTTCAATAAATTTATTTTTAAATACAAAAATAATTAAACAGGAAGAAAATGATAGTAATGATTTGTACAAAAATAATAAACAGAAAGGAAGTATTAATAATAATATACACAGAAAAAATAAAATTTTTGCAAGCATGCATTTTTTAAAGAATTTTCATAATAAAATGAAAAATAATGGATGGGATCAGTCATATACAGGATCATATACAGCATGCATGATCCTGAGCTTAACTTTCGCTTTACGAGTTTCATCCATATTTTTCAATTTATTGAGAAAATTCATTAAAAAATGCATGCCGTCATCATAGATTTCTTGCGAGATCAACTCACTGTTTTGTTCGGATACGATTACAATTCATTCAGATATTATGTGCTCCATATTTAAAAAAATGTTGCCTTCTATGTGACAGTGAAATCGTCTAAAGAAAGCTGCTTCGTTTTAGCTTCGCTCTGATTGGTCGACGCTTATCCCAAACTCGGTGTAAAGTTGAAAACTCTTCGTTGCTCTCTGCGTAAGCTCATAAAATAGGGAATGTCTGTAGTGAATATTTGATAGATGCCGAAGGGCAGTTTTATTTGTGTATATGATCTATTTTTCTCACTGATATTTGTGACCTCTAAACTTACCTCATTTTAAACAGTTCACTTTTATCTTTCTTGTTTTGTAATTTCTAATATATGATATTGCTTTTATTTCTTTTGCAATGAAATTTTTATTTGTATCATTTGTGCAATTCTAGAAAGAGTTTTTATGTGTATGTATAGGAAGATATTAAATCTAAGTTAGTCACCAAGTTATAAAGACTTATTTAGTCACTAAAATAAATTGTAATTATGCACAAATACAGCTATAATTAAAGGGATTATTTTTACTTTCATACATTATTTAAACTGTCCAAATTTACAAAAAATACAAGGTACAGAGTACAAATAGTGAAAGTAAAAATATCTGTATATGTGTGTTTAATAAAAATTGTTTTCAGTGGTAAAAGATGGCATAGATGTATAATTACGGGTCTTAGTGTTTTCAAGATGGTAATGATTTATCATATCCAGATGAACATTTTCTTTTAATGTCAAAATAGTGTTTTTGATGCAGATGTTATCTGTGTACCCATTCATAAGTTCGTATGTGTCTTTTTGCAACAATTAATTTTGATGGAATCAAAAGAAGCAGCAATGTACTAGCACAACAGCCAATAAGAAAAGAATGTGCATATGCTAGAATGAAGGTTTAGTTAAAACTCAGAAATGACATTTCAGTGTGAAAATTTTATAATTATTGGCTGAAGTGTTATGTACGTACTATGTCATTATATTAAAAAAAATCATGACAAAGATTAATTTTGAAATGATGCTATTTAGAGAGATTTATAGTAAGCATGTTACTGTATTTGTTACTTCTCTGTTAAAGCTACTTGTGGTTTGTTTTTATTTTGTCATGTTTACTTAGTACCATGTGTTACCAGTTATTTTGGTTTGATTTCTTTCTTGTTGATAATTATCTTAATAGCCATCGCTTTGCACAACCAATTTTTTTCTTTTTTTACTGCAGTAGATTTTTATGACTTAGGATTTCCTAAGAAATGAACAAGAGTGATTATCATGGGTTTTAATAAATAAATAAATATTCTTCGCAAAGGAATGTTAAATATAGATAACCACCTCATGAAATTAAACTCAAAAGAAAAATGACTTTGCAAGTCTTCATTTCTGATGGGAATAAAAAGGGGGTACTTATATATTCTTGCAACCACTTTAGTTGAAAGTCGCCAAATTTTCACTATGTACCAAACTCTAACAGCCATATGCATATCCATTCTTCAGGCAACTCTGCTCATAATAACTCTTCAGTTGAGCTGTGTATGTATTCTTTTTGTTTTATTTTAGCTCCAACTGTTTTTATAGATAAATTGTGATATTTTTTGCCTTAAGCACAATTTTAAAATTATGCACTTGTGCAGTTTTTCAGCAGTGAAAGAAACTGCTTGCAGTATTTTGCTGGAAAATCACTAGACGCAGCAGTGATGAGATGCAGAGATAGCAGGTGTACAAATGCTAGAGTTGTGCAGTTCTTTGTTTTTTTAAGCAAAAACAGTTCACTGTGTTCATGGGCTAAACACAGCTGGAAAAAAAAAAAAAAAAAATACTGAAGAATTTTATGAAAAATTGTTTTTTTTTAATATATCACATAATCCTTATTTCATAATTAAATTTGTATTTGAAATTTAGTGCTATTTGCCAACTTTTGGTGCTTATTGGTACTATTTCCTAAATTATCGATATGTATTGATAATTTGGGGAAAAAAACTTTAATTTGCATTTAATAAGTAACTTTTTGCTTTTTCTTTGTAAAAACTTGTTTGATTTCATAAAATGTGGTTTCATTAAAATGTAATCAGTGAAAAAGGTGTCCAAACATAGACACTTTATCAGGTAAAAATTTATGATAGTGAAAAATTTATTAATATAAATTTAGTGTTAAAATTTATGACATTTTTTGAGGTAGGTATTGACTTTCAGTTTGTTAATAAATTAGCTAATTTGCACCTGACGTAAATAAAATTATACCTTGAAGTATTTTATTATTTTATCTTTAAATATCTTTTAAAAGTGTAAATTGGCATGTAACAACTTCAGAGATAGTTATTGATTATTTTTTGTATATTAGTGGTATCAAAATGATATATGTGTTCATGTTATAAATTTTTACAGTGTACTATTTTTACTTTCAGAAACGAGTAAAAGCTGGTTCAGTAGAAAATTTATACTCGATGTTGAATTGGACTGGACTGGTACCAGATGAAAGCCCTGAATGTGGAGGGCCTTTTGAGCCATATATACAGGTATGTTTACACATTAATTATTTTCATGAGAAAAATTTATTATTCTGAGAATTATAAAATAACCGTGTACTTTTGTGAGAGTAAAAATCTTCAAATTGTATTAAAAAATTTCAAGTTCCTAAAAGTAACATTGATATATACTCTGACGGAAAAAATCCTGATACGTGAAAAAAAAAAAAAAAAAAGTGTAATGAAATTTCAACAATACATTTGTCTGGATAACATAGTTAATTAATTAAATTTTCAAGATTACAGGTTAATACAAATACAAAAGCCATTTCAAATGTAAAAGGCTGGTACATTAATAACCTGTATAACCTGCCAGAATTATGCAAACATGCATTGTGTCATACAGATACCGGATGTTTGTGGGATGGAGTTTCATATCAGTTGCATTTGGGCAGTCAATACAGGGCAGTTGATGATGGTTGTGGATGTTGGCATTGTCATGCAATTATGTTCACATGTACTTGATTGGAAAAAAAATCTGATGATCTAGCATGCCAAGGCAATATGTCGACACTCTTTAAAGCATGTTAAGTTATTATCCTGCTGAAAAAACACCCCTTTGAATGCTGTTAAGGAATGGCAGCAGAACAGGTTGAATGTTCAGATTGGCGTACATATTTTCAGTCAGGGTACGTGGGAAACAATGAGAGTGCTCCAGCTGTCATGCAAAATTGCTTCCTAGACCATAATTCTAGGTGTAGGCTGCAGACAGGTTGGTTGCAGGCACTCACTTGGCCTCCTTCTAAACAACACATGGCTATCACTGGCACTAAGGCAGAACCAACTTTCATCAGAAAACACAACTGATCTCCACTCTGTCCTCCAATGAGCTCTATCTTGACATCACAAACAGCAATGGTTTTGAGTCAGTGGAATGCATGCTACAGGGCATCTGGCTCAGATCTGTCCTTTAAGTTACCCATTTGTAACAGTTTGTTGTGACAGTGTGGTGTCAACTACATCTCGAATTTCTGCTGCAGGTGCAGTACAATCTGCCACAACCATTTGCTGAACACCATGATCTTCCCTCTCAGCAGTGCCACATGGCTGTCTGGAGCACGGTCTTCTTGACCCAGTACCTTCCCTTGACCACTGCTACCAAGAATCATGTGCAGCAGATCCATTCCTGCTAAGTCTTTCTGCAATATCACAGACAGAAAATTCATCTTCTCGTAGCCCTATTGCACAACTTCGTTCAAACTCTCTGAGCTGTTCATCATTGCTTCTTCATCTTCTTAAAGAGATTCCTGCCTAACATCAACTCATTATGTCAAATCTGAACAATAAATAACCTTCATGACAGGCGTGTTAAACCAGTTTGGTGCCCCTGGTGGTAAAATTTTTAGGGCCTCCTGGAAAGTATTTACTTACCTATATGTTTGAAATATCGGTTCACGATTAGTGCTGAAGTATAATAAATAATAAATATACATTATTACTTAACATCATTAATATTTTAATGAAATTATGAATAATATTTTTAATTCTAAATATTAGTATATTATTCAAAGCTAAAATACATAAAAATTAAAATTATACAAAAATATTAAATATTCCATGGGAAAGAAAAATAAAGACATAAAACAGCTACTAAGACAGTACTGATTTCACCTTATATTTCATAAAATAATCAGAATGTTAATTAGAACCATACAACATAAAACAATATCATGGTTCATGGGGATGGCGATACTTTTATGAGGGTTTCTCAACTAAAGTTAACAGCTGAACTTAACCAGTTCATCATCCTATAAAACTGAAATATTTGCTTTCTTTGTTTCTTTTTCTTTCCTCCTCCAAAGATAAACTTTTTGCATCTGAAAATTTCTAAAGCCTTGAAACTGGCTTTAGAAATGTTTTCTCCACTCTTTCACTGGCTGACAAGACATATTTAGAAAGGCAGCCTGTGTAAGAAGTGGCAGTACTGTTCTAAAAGCGACTCGAATGAATATTCATTAGAACTAATAATAGGAGGAAAAGTAAAAGTCTATTTGCATTATGTCCCAATATTTATATCAATACATTTCAACATTACAAATAAATTTATACAACATAAAAATAGCTTTTTAAAATGGATATATCTTTAAGGGTAATATATTTTCCCATTTGATTCTATTTTATAAGTGTAGAATTGAAAATATTTGCCGTAAGCTAATTTTCTTGGACTGTGAGATATGCGAATCCATTCAAATATCCAAAATAATGTTTAATAATTGGAAATGTTAACTCTAATTATTGACTTTAACTAATTAGAAATGTTAATTTATAATTAAACTGTTGTTAACTGTGTTAATCATGGGGAAAAAATAAAATAAATAGAAAATGAAAATAAAATAAAATAAATAAATAAAAGTAAAAATATAATTATGTATAAAAAATACATATTGTATAAGCCATAATAAAATTTAAAAATTCTTACATATGTATAATATATTAACTAAATAGGTTTTATTAAGATTATGACTTCTCAGAGGTTGAATTCATTGAAATACATATTATTAACAGGAAAAATGATACAAATATTTTTTCTCTTAAAAAAGTTACACACTCTTTTGTTATTTAACAGAATTAAGCTCTTATTATTAAAATCTAATTAAAAAATAAAAGGTACATCAATTGCCAGTTGGACTGCCAATTGGTTTTTTTACTAGCTTCAAAAGCACGTTTACTCGTTAAAATTGAAATTTAACTGTTATTTTCATATCAGATTGACTGGAACAATTTTACAATCAAATTGTTGGTAAAAATGTATTTAGTGCTCCTCAGCGAAAACTGACATGGACACCGAGTTTGTGCAACTCTTTGACTTGTTATTTTGGCTCTGTATAGCAGCGATTTTCGCGATAAAAAAAAAAAAAGCCAAAATAACGAGTCAAAGCCAAAATAACAAGTCAAAGAATTGCACAAACACAGTATCCATGTACACATTGTACAAACTTGCCATTACGCACTCCCTTGACTTTGCTCATGTACACAACAATCTATTTTCATTTAAAAAGGTCAAAAGAGTAGCCAATTTTACACTAGAGCCAAACAAAAAATATATAATCTCAATAACGTACATTTTAAAGAAAACAATGAAATAACATAAGAAAGGAAATTCATCTTGGCACTACACAAATGAAATATCCACTTAACCTTATTTATGAATTTCGCTGTCTTCAGTCAAACAAAATTCCTTAACAATATCCAAAAACTTCCTAAAATTATCTGAACTAGAATCTGTATACTGGCATTTCCACATAAATTCACAAAAGTAAGAGTAGAAAATATCCTCCGTAGTGCCAGTAACCTCCGACATTCGATCATATGCATTTCCTTCCTACATACAGGACACTTAGAATGGCTACTAAGTAATCTTTCATTTACACACCAGTCAATGAATGCTTTTTTTTTTCCCTTTCATTCCAAATTGTACAAAAATTCAAATTAATCTTACCACTTTCAGTCATTTTATCATGTAAACCACAAAATAATCAACATACTTCCTAACCAACATCCAAAACACAAACAACTCCTTCCAAATCTTTTTCCATCACTCAAATTCACATCTATCATGCAATCAATTACGTCATAATAGCATTTCCATAGCATTTAACTACTTAGGTTACCAGAAATGAAACAACTTGGCAATAAATGAAACGACTTAGCGATAATCCAAGGAGCACCCTTAAATATACTCTAACCAAATTGTTTTTACTCTGTATATGCCACATATATTCTAAATTTTCTTTTTTTCCCAAAAGTGTTACAAAACGACCCTCAGAAATGATTAATTAGGCTCTTATGAGATAGAACAAAACAAGGAAAGGAGTACATATTGAGCTTATTAAAATGCACAGTTACATTAGGGTAAAATTTTATTGACAGGTATACCCCTTGGCAAAAATTGGTGGTATATGGATACCAAGTTTGTGCAATTCTTTGACTTGTTATTTTGGCTTGTGTAGGGGCGATTTTTGCGTTAAAAATCGGCGCTACACAAAGCCAAAATAACAAGACAAAAGAATTGCAGAAACTTCGGTATACATGTACACATCAGCCTATTTTCACTTGAAAAAACATCAGAGAATTGCACAAACTAGGGATTGCGCATTCCCTTCCCTTACTCCCATGTACACAACTATATTCACTTAAAAAGTCAAAGGAGCAGCCAACAAAAATATATATAATCTCAATAAACTACATTTTAAATCAAACAATGAAATAACATAAAAAAGGAAATTCATCTTTGCACTACACAAAGGAAATATCCTCTTACCTTATTTACGAATTAACATGTCTTCAGTCAAACAAAATTCCTTAACAGCATCCTAAAACTTCCTAAAATTATCTGTACTAGAATCTGTATACTGGTATCACCACATAAATTCACAAAATAAGAGTAAAAAATATCCTCTGCAATGCCATTGTCATCCGACGTTCAACCATACGCATTTCCTTCCTATAAACAGGACACTTTAATAATGGCTAGTGAGTAAGCCTTCATTTACACACCAGTCAAATAATGCTCTTTTCCTCTTTCTTTCCAAATCATACATAAACTTCAAATTAATCTTACCACATTCAGCCATTTTACCATCTAAACCACAATACAAGCAATATACTTCCTAACCAACATACACCACAAGCCTTTACGAATTTATTGCAATCATGCAACTGATTATGTCATAATAGGGTTTCCATAACATTCAACTACTCAGGCTACTGTAAATGAAACACCAACTTGGCAATAAATGAAACAACAACTTCACGATAATACAAGGGGTACTCTGCTGTAACCCACGTTAGTATTTTTTAATACTCTAAGTGTTAAAGGAATATCATCATTATAATTTAATAAGATTAAAATTATTACTTATTAACTAATTTATGAGTTGCAGATTTGCATCAAATTGTTAATGTGTAACCACTAATGCTATAAAAATTGTTAAAATTTGATACTTTATTTATTATTACTGAATATATAATTAGTCAAAAATACAAAAGTTTTGGAAATTTACATGCTTATTTATTTCTTTTAAGTAATATTAAAAGTAAATCATGTTATCTTAAAATTTACACACACACAAAACTTCTGCTCATCACTAAAAAGTAAATATGTTCATTAAAAATAATTTCCTCTCATAATAATTCATATTTCTTACAACAAGAAATACTGAAATAGGTGTTTTAAATCTGTTAGGAGCAAACTGCAGAAACCTTTTAAAATTTTATTTATTTTGAACAATGAGGTAACTAGAGTTTTTTAAATAACATTGGGTACTTCATTTAACAATTAACTATTAAAAAAAAATCTCAAAACCAAATGTAATTTTATTATTTATTTGCATGCAGTTTATTTTTAAATCTTATTAATCCATTGCAGTCTTAAATAAATTCAATTCTTATTTTAGTGAAAGGATTGCAGAAAAAATTCTGTGATCAAAAGCTACTGCTAATGAAAAAAAGCTTGAGAAGTCCTTTATTAGAGGTTATGCAAATATGTAAAATAAAGGGAAGTTCTGCCAGTAGCTGTGTGAATAAGACTGTAGAGCACTGCTGATCTATGCAGTCTCAAATCCGAATGAATAGACTATAGATGCTTAAATGTTTTCATGATTTTCTCATGCAATATGAAATCAAACCAGTTTCCCTTAGACAGTGTTCCATGAAAGTATTGGTTTCTTTGGGAGGCTAGTCATAGTGAACTGTTTCTCATAATCAATTAATCCAGTCTTATTAAGTAAAGACACATATTTTCCTCTTTACTTAAATTTATATTGAAATAATAAATATAGTATTCAGATTTTTATTATTGTTAAAGCTAAAAAAATTAATGAATGTGTAAGAAAACTTTCAACATTTAAAAACATTTTGTGTGTAAATTTGAGAAATACAAGAAAATAAAGAGTATGAAAAGTAAATATGAATTATAAATTGTAATGTGTTCTGAATTAATTAACTGTTTTAAATAATGAAGTAAAAGTGTTAATAAAATAACATTCTGTAAACATATCGAATTAAAAGTTTCTAATTTATGCTAATTTATAATTTATATTTTTTTAATTTATTCTAAAATAACATTTAAAAATATATTGTTTCATTAATTGCAGTTTTATATGATTGAATTTAGGTATTTCTTATAGTTTTACAAATTTATTACTGATTCTGTTTAAAATTATGTTCTTTACTTTCAGTCTCAGAGATTATTACATTATAAAGAGAAAGCAGATTACCTTCTAGAAGTAGGTATTGCATATTCTTAAAATTAAAGCTCTTTGCAAATTAAGTTATCTATGTTGTAACTGTGTTCTGAATTCTTTTTTTATAGTATATTTTGACAGAGATGTAACTTCTTTGAGATAAACCTCTCTTTATTTAGTAATATGTTTATTAATGAAATGATGCTGTAGAAGAGTAGTGTGTGAAAGAAACTAGCATGGAAGATTATAAACTAGTTTACTAAAATTATAAACTGCTGTATCTGACATATATATAAAAGTAAAAATTCTTTCTGTAGAGTAACAAATATTGTACATACATTATTTTACCATTTGAACATCAGGCCCACCAGCGGCCGAGCGGTAAAGTCGCTGAACTCTGGTAGTTCGGTCCGAGGTTCGAATCCCGTGAACGGGCTGGCTGCATGGGCGTTTTCTTGGTTTTCCTCATGTGTAACATGTATACGAGCCAGTTTCCCTTAGAAAGTCCTCCACGAAGGCATCCCTACCCTTAGGCAGATAGCCCTAGTGTGCTTTGCCGTAATCTCAATAAACCAAACTAAACGATTTAAATATCAAAGCCATTTAGATCCAGTTATGATAGCTTTATTGCCTTCATTTATATAATAATGATTTACTGTTCGTTTTCCTAACATATAATAATGCTATAAGAATGATTTTAAAAATTTAATAATCATTAAAGATTATAATAGACAGCAAAATAAATTGGAACAAAACTCATAAGTTTTCAAGCAGTAATCTTTCTGGAAGTGCTTTCTATAAGACTTAATAATTAAGGCATGGAAGTTTTACATAAATTTGTAGATATTGTATAAAGATATTTCACTGCAAATAAATTTAAGTGGTAGTAACAATGATGAATAATTGAATACTTTTTAAGTACTTTTTTTTTTTGTATTTTATAAAAGTTTAATTGTTTTCTTTGGTAGAATAGCATGCATTGCCATTAGCCTATTTTTCATCTTTGTCTCTTTTGTCATTAGCCCATTTTGACCACTAAAATTTTTCTACTTAAAAAAAAAAAATAAATAAATAAATAATGCAAGAAATACATGTCTTAATCTCATTGCTCCCAGCATGTCATATGTGATTTCCTTCAGTTTTCCTTCATGGGCTTTTTTTAGCAAATATGATGTGGGAGCAAAGTATCACTGATTCTATTATATCTCATAAAGTTAATGATGTGATGGAACCAGTGATAAATGTCTGAAATGTAATATTTTATTTGAAATACACATAAATGGTGTCAGAATGCTATGAGATTTAATTGAACGGATTGTTAACTTTGTTGTTCTGAATGTCATTTACTATTTTATTCTATGAATCTAAAACACATGATACGTACTATGTGAGTTCAGAGCTTGGACATGTCTCTCACAGTGCAAGAGATTTAAATTTTTGTATGCACGTATGGCAGTAATGGATACTCTTCTGTTATTAGAACTGGATTCGAAAATGTATGTATGTATAATTGTGTACATGTATGCATGAAGTATGGATGTATGGATGTGTATAACACACAGACATATACACAGATGCATACATTTCTGAATAATTTTAATTTTGCTAAATATTACTTTAACATTAGCTGATAAGAAGTTTTCTTTTTCTTATTTAAAAAAAAAAAGGAGTAAAATAAAAGAGTAAGAAAATATAATTTAAATAAAATTTATAAATTTATTATTGCAGACTTTTGCAAAATTGAGAACACACAGACATATATACACACGTGCATACATTTCTGAATGCGGTCCTGATAACAGAAGAGTTACGTAGAATATAATAGGCATTATTATTGAAATTTTTGAGTGGCATTTGTTGTTCTATAATGAAAAAGATCCAAAACTTTAGTGTCACAAAGTTTGTAATAATAAATTTATAAATTTTATTTAAATTATATTTTCTTACCCTTTTATTTAACTGCTTTTCTTAATGACGGAAAGAAAGCTTCTTATCATCTAAAGTAATACAGTACAAAGTCCAAAATCTGGACTCGAGACTTTGGCGATTCCGGATTTCGAATTTTTCTGGATATTAGATCATCAGTTTAAATCTACTAAGATGTCATTTAGAAATTGTAAAATTAAAAATATGAAATCGTGATTTATGAAATAACTTAAGTATTTATGATCTAAAGGGTATCAAAATTTACAATAAAAAGCTTTACTTGTTTACCTTGTTAAACATTTCTTTCCATGTAAGTTATGAAAGTTGCTTTGTTTTTTTGTACTAATACTTTCTCTTTAATTCTGTAGACAGACATAAACTCTTGTTTAGTTACATAGTTGAAGTCCTGGAACTGCTATTTCGAGAATTCCGACTAACTTGTCAATTGAAATTTTCTCGTTTTGAGTAACTTCTCAGCCACTTTCTTCACCATTGGTAGTGGTATTTTCTAGATTTAGAACCATACTACAGACTTTGCCATTCATTAATTGATTGATGATTGAGAAGCATTGTCATCACAATGAAAAACTTCATTTATTACCGCTTCTCCACATTTCTTTACAAAATCCGTTAATTGGAAAATTCACCTTTGTTTTGCGATATCCGAAAACCTTTAAAATTAATGGCTATCATCATCAAATTTAGCTATCCTTCACTATACATATTTGGCTATGCATCATGGAGTTTGGCGACTAATGACAAGTTGTTCCGATAAATTTTATCTTGTTTCTATAGTGCAATGAGACAATTAAGCCTGAATTGTATTAGTTTAGTTATTTATTATATTTATGTCTATTTCTTGCACAAGCTTAAGGCTCATCAGAGTTCTGAATAAATAAATTCCCAGGGCCAGCACTAGATATCTTACCGCCTGATGCAGTCTCTGTGGGTCCTAAATTCTGGGACTCAATGCAGCCATATGAGCCCTGGCGCTGGTTCTGGGTTTATGTGAATAACAAATCAGTTATTCTTAATTCAAATAGCCCTAAATGTAATCTCTGGGTCTATGAGTATCATCAACCAAATCTATTTTTTTAGCATATGGAAAGGAATTTTTGGTAAATTTTTCCTCGTCAACATTTTTTAGCGCATTTAACTTAAATCTGTAATCATCACTAAGCATAATGTCAACATAAAAGGTTACTGCACTCCTTTATTATTCAATAACCAACATAAAAAATTGTTTAGAGTGATTACTCAATTTGTCATGTTTTGATAAACATGCGGTGATGAAAGGAAAGTATAATAAATAATGATTTACCAGGTTGGCGTCAGATCAACGATGTATCTGTGTGGAATGTTTCGGTTTGGGATGTGTGCTAAGCAGATATGCAGCAACAGAGCCAGATTACTAATTTATGACAGATTTATGCTAAAATGATTGTTTCTGCAATAACAAGGTATTTTATTTAGTGTCAAAGTGAAATAAGAATCGGGACTCTCCAGATGTTTTATTATTTGTGAAGGGGGGAATCAAATGCGCATGGGTAAAGCCTGCGAGAAAATGTTGGTGGTGGTTTTGAGGTCCGGATTTTAGATCATTCCAGATAATGGATGTCCAGATTTCGGACTTTGTACAATATTTAGCAAAATTGAGAATTAATAATTCTATTTTAGATGTATTAAGTACTTTGAAGTGGTTTAGTTTGTTATATTTTTTTTTACTTTCTTTTCCTTTCTGTAGTCTGGGGCTGCTTATAGATGCTTTTGTTCAGAAGTAAGACTGGAAATTTTAAAAAAAGAAGCTATGCGAAATCGTGTAAATTATGGATATGACAATAAATGTAGGCATTTAACAACTGCTGAAGTTCATAATTTATTACAAGAGGAGCAGACCATACACTATTCGATTCAAGGTAAGAATGTAAAAGGTACATGTTTGCATGTAGAAAATAATGTAAAATTGAATTCTGAGTAAGCTGTGGGCTGAATTATTTATTGATATGTAGCCAAATGTTCTATATAGACCGTTCTTTCATATTTTAATTGCTTTATGTATTTTTGCCTAGAACTTTATCTTTGAGTCATATTTGAAACTTATCTTTACAAGTTGTTAATATTTTTTAACTGTTAATAAATTATTGCCAGTTTTAAAAGTAGTTTAAATTATTTTATACTAAAGACAAAAATCAAGCATTGATATATTTCTTCTGAATTTTAAAACTGTCATATGTTTGTTAAAAGAAAAGGTACTTTCTGACTTTGTACTCTCCTCCCAAAAAGTTTTCCAACCGTTCATATGTAATTTTTTGCTAAGCTGTGAAAGGCAGCAGCCATTTTCAAAAATGGTGTCACACTAAGAATTATGTAAAATAGCAACCAATTAACAAAATTAAAAATGCAAGAAACATCTGAAATAAAACACTTTTTTTTTCTTGTGCTTTTTTCCCCAGTCACACAGCAATTGGTATATCTGAAGAAATGCAATGCTTTCTTTTACATCAACTGGTAAACTTCACAGCCCTAATGCAATGCTTACAAGGAAAAAAGAAAGCATTCTACACAACAAACTATTTGACAGTATTAGAAAAGGTGGAAACCAATGCTTATGTGCATACTGTAATATCTTGTTATTTAATAAATAAATATAATTATTGTTGAAGGGGCAACGCCATATTTGTATTAAACCATTACTCAGTAACGTGAGATATTGTTTTAAAAAGATTAGTATTCTCAAGATTGCTGAGTAACATACCAGTTTGGTGCTGGTCTCCTAATCCCAGAAATTTACTGAATTTTTTAGAACAAGTTTGTTAATACCAATTGCCAAGTTTGTTTATTTCAAGGAGAAATGGATGTAAGAAGTCTGTTGTTTTAAAGCCAGATTTGAAGCGGATCGTTCAAAGGTTATCTTCTGTGTTTCTGTAACTTGCGTCCGAGCAAAAACTGTCAAAAATAGGATATTGCTGATCTCTGAAGATAAGATTAACTTTTGGTTTTCTTAAAAAGAGGATTTTATTGAATTTTAAGTACTTTCATTTCAGAATTGATAGTTTATCGATAGTATAGATTTTCTGTGTAAAATAACTGACACTAAAAATACGTCAGCTTAAATTTATAATTGATATTTGTGGTAAAAGAAGTATTTTAAAAGATTATTATTTATGCTTTACTTGTTATTTGTTATTGAATTTTTTATGTTGATAATTGATATATGTAAGCCATCCCGGCGTTTATAAAAAAAAGAAGTGCTAGCTGAGTTTTGAATTTGTTGCCAAGCAGGCACGTGAAAAATAAGTAATAACGTCAAACTGACATAACGAAAATCGTCAAACTGACGTATGTAATTGCCTAACTGACAAAGGTGTTTATATAGTTATAGCTAACGAGGCTTGTGAATAGTGAGTTAAAACGTCACCCGATATAGTATTATAGTATTTTGTGCCAACCTGGCAAAGTTGTTTAAATGATTCTCTCCAATTGGTTAGTGTGAATTTCGTATTTGAGAAATTAAGTCTCGCCAGAAATTATACATTTTTAGTACAAGTACGATCTTTTAGATTCAATTTCAAAAGGAAGCCTAATAAAGGTAACTTGTGTCAACATGTCATTCTTAGCTAGGAGTAAAAAACAGGATTTAAAAGTACTAGCAGAAGAGTTAGGTTTAACCGTGAAACCTGAATTGAAGATTGCTCAGTTGCATAAACTGATTACTGAAAGTCCAGATTATGATGAGGAGTTTACTCGATAACTACTGGCTGCAATTAGAGAAGAAAGGGAACGAAAAGAAGAATGCGAAAGAGAAGAAAGAGAAAGAGAAAAGGAACGCAAAAGAGAAGAAAGAGAAAGAAGAGAAGAACGCGAAAGCAGAAAGAAAAGAAGAGCTTGAAAGAAAAGAGCGAATTAGAGCCTTTGAGCTACAGAAACTTCAGCTGGAAGCAATCGCTGCAACAGCACAGCCGGTAGAAACTACACAGTTACCTGAGCAGTCTTTAAAAATCAGAATTCACGATGTCATGCCGCGTTTCAACCCTAAAGAATATGAAATAAGTTCATTTCTGGTGTTATTTGAGCGTCAAGCTAAAATAATGAATATACCTGCTGAAAATCAAATGGCTAAACTTATTTCATTGCTGCCTCCTGACATTGTTCAGCTTATTGCTAGAGAACCAGAAGAAGACGCGAAAAAGTATGAATATGTTAAAACTTTACTGTTACAACGATTTAAATTGACTGCGGAAAAATTTCGACAACTATTTAATAAACACCAAAAATCTACTGAAAGTACTTGGTATGATTTCTACTATTAATTAAAACATTATTTAGAAGGATGGCTTAACGGATTAAACATTAAAACTTTTGAACAGCTGAAAGATCTCATGCTAGTTGATCAAATAAAAACGCGTACTTCTCCTGATTTCAAAGAACATTTTATGGATCAATGGACAACCATCATTTCACCTACTGAAATGGTTAAGAAAATTGAAGATTTTGAAGATGTGAGAAAAACAATAAAACCAAAATTTTCTGTCAATCAGACTGAGAAAATTAACAAAGGATCATTTAAATTGCGTTATGATAATTTTGTGAAAAGAATAGAGCATCCGCCTCATTTTAAGCATTCTGATAAATTGGATGATTCAAAATACAAGAAAGATCATCAGCAAAGGAAAACAGTTCCAAAACAAAAACCAAGAAATTTTTATATGACATAATATATCGACCACGTTGTTTCGAGTGTGTATCATACGAACATTTTAAGCCTCAGTGTCCTCGCTTAAACCAAATGAAAAGGTAAATTGCGTATCTTCGAATGATGATTTGTTAGAGACATATACAATTAACGGTTTAGTGAATGGATATGAAATGCCTATTCTTCGCGACACAGGAGCCACTGTTGATGTTACTTCTCAGAAATACATAGATAACACAAAAATGACTGGAGAACATGTCTGGGTACAATATCTTTTAAATGACCATTTAGTGTGTCTACCGTTAGCGGAAGTTGAAATTAATTGCGAACTTGGTCATATAAAGACAAAGGCAGCTGTTGTTACAAATGATCCAGGCAGATATGTATTGGGTAACAAAACTGCCCAATTCTTCAAAAATAAATAAATCATTCTTAAATTTAGAAAAAATAAATGCAGTTTTGACACAATCTCAAGTAAAAAGACCTTGTGAAGAAGATCGAAATAGAGAAACCGAAATAGAGAAACTAGAAGAACTGACGTTTATTGAAACTGAAGAAGATATTTTACCACAAGCTGATGAGGAAGACAAGGAAATTAAGAAAGTGATTAATGTTAATTCAAAGGAATTAATTGAATCTCAGCATCAAAGCAGAGATCTAGCGTCATTGCTTAACGAAACTAAAAATGAAAATTCCAGCAAGACAAATGATTTCAAAGTAAAAGAAAACGGATTGTTGGTGAAAAGGAAAATAGATAAAAATGGAAATGAAAGGGAATTAATTGTTATTGCTGAAAAATATAGGGATCAAATAAAGTCATTATGTCATGATAGTACATCTGGACATTTAGCCGTTGTCAAAACTAAAGATAGATTAACAAGATACTTTTACTGGCCTAATTGCTATAAAGAAATAGAAGAGTATGTTAAAACTTGCGATCCATGTCAAAGACTGGGAAAATCTAATGATAAAGCCAAAGACCTTTGACTTTAGTACCAATTATTGCAGAAGTATTTTCAAAAATTAACTTTTACGCATGCGGCCCTTTACCAATAACACCAAATGGCAATAGATACTTAATTACAGCTATTTGTGTAGCTTCAAACTATCTGGATGCTGTACCTGTTCCTAATATTGGCACAACATCAGTAATTGAAGCCATGTTACAAATATTTAGTAGAATAGGTTTCCCGAAAGAAATACATACTGATCAAGGTACCTTATGAGCAAACTAGCCATTGAATTTGTAGAAAAATTTGGAATAAAAGTAACTAGAAGCTCAGTACACCATTCGCAGAGCAACCCTGTTGAAAGATTTCACCGAACAATCAAACGAATTTTAAAAGTTTTATGTATCAAAGCAGCCCCTGAGTGCGAGAAGCAAGTTCCCGCAGCTCTATTTGCTTTAAGAACAATAACGCATGAGAGTACGGGATTTACACCTGCAGAATTAGTATATGGTCGAAATCTTAGAACACCTGTAACATTATTATATGAACAATGGATGAATCCTGAAGACGAAGGAAATAATGTTGTTGAACATGTTTTTCAATTAATAAATTGGTTAAAAAGATGCAAAGAGCTGGCTACAGATAAAATGCTGGAAATGCAAACCAAAAGAAAAGTGTGGTACGATCGTAAAGCTATCAAAAGAGAATTCTCTGAAGGAGATTTAGTATTAGTTGTATCAACGAATAAACCAAACAGACTAGCAGTTCAATGGAAAGGTCCTGGGATGGTTGAGAAGAAATGATTCGAAACTAATTATGTTGTGAGTTTTCGAAAAAAAACAATGACTACCATTTAACATGCTAAAACCCTTATCATAGTCGAGCAGAATCGGTTAACCTTATGATTACAGAAGATCAATCTGAAATTGATGATATGGAGGAAAAATTTCCCAACAATTGACTCTGAACCAACATTGTTCGATTTTGAGGACATAAAGAAAACAGCTCCTTAAGTGATAAGCTAAATGAACAACAGATTCAAGAATTGCATGATATGCTGCTGAAGTTTTCAAAAATCTTTTCCAATAAACCTGGAAAAACTCATTTAATAACGCATGATATTTAATTGACAGAAAACACCCAATCCAATGTAAACCATGCAGAATGTCTCCTAGACAAATGGATATATTAGAAACAGAAATCGATAAAATGCTTCAGCATAAGATAATTGAAATAGGAGATTCAGATTACACTTCTCCTATGATTTTAGTAG